CGGCGGCGGCAGAGACATGGGGGGGGGGGGGCGGCCAGGGGTTCTAGCCTGGCCCGGGCGCGAGTCCTGGGGCTATCTCCTGGTTTACTGGCCGCTACCTGAGCCCAGGTTGGGGCAATACAGCTACAGTTCCGGGAAGAAAAGTACACATCCCCCAACACTCCCTTTCTACTCCCTGAACCCGCCCAGCAGGTTACAAAGGCCACCCCAACGACACAGGGGCTTATTGTCAGGCTACCCGTGAGCTGTCTTGTCAGTCTGGCTGCCTCAAGGTGCTGGCCAGGGCTTGAAATTGCCGGTAATCCTAGCACCCAACCCGCGAGTAAGACCAGTTGTAACACTTAACTCACTGCCTTGGCTTATTTCTTTTGAAACTTTTAAACTTTTTTTTTCCTTTTCATGTCCTCATTTTGCCCAGTTCCACTGGACGAAGGACACCAAAGTACAGAGTGGCAGGTACAAAATGAACCTTAGTGTAGGCGTTGATGAGAAAAGAACCTGATTCTCATTGTATTTATACAAAGGTTGGCTAGGTGGATACCCCGAAAATTAAAACAACAACAACAACAACAAAAAAGCAAGTGTGCTTATGATAATTATCCCTGCTCCTAAAGTTGGTCGGTGTTTTGTCATTATCAGCAAAGCAAGCACTCCCTTTTCTTTGTAAAGCGCTCGTTATCCGTACTCTCGCCATACTTTTCTTTTCTTTTCTTTTCTTTCTTTTTTTTATTGGTCTTTCTTGTGCTTCCTTCCAGATGAGAATGGTTATTTACATTGTTTGCTGTTCTACTTCCCTTGTTTATAACGCGTCATTGGTTAGTTGAGGTGTTGTCAAGTATTCTTTACAACTTTCCCAGTTTAGACATTCCCGAACTTGTGCTTGTAGGCTTTTCTTAAAATTATAGAATGTTAGATATGAAGGGACTGTAGAGATCTTGTCGAGTCATTCCCATTCTTTTCGTCCAAGGACTCTTTTTATTATATTTTCATCCATGGACCTCATATCTTGAAAGATTTTGTCACTTAAATGAAATCACATATATCACTGTCATAGATGTAATGCTAATAAGCAATAAAGTTAAATAAGTGTACAAACGCTTAGGCACTGTTCCCTGCATTTGGTCGCTTAATTTTGGCTGTCATTCTTCTGGGTTGATCACATGCTGGAAGAATTAAATCAGCTGAAAAACCAGATAAATAACTCTGCTAACAATCACATCCTAGACATGTCTATGAAGTCATCAACAGCAAATTAGAATTTCTGATCAGCATTCAATAATCAGTGTTAGCCCAAAGGGTTGATTTAATGCCTGCCAAAAGTAAAGAAACTTGACATTTTATTTAATCGCAATTTCCAGAAGGCTTTCTGAAATATTGCAAATAGATTGTGAATCTTTTTCCTTTCCTCCAGTTTAGAGTGAATCCTTCTCCCTCTGCTCTGAATCTCTTCCTGCCCCCTTACTTGGGGGTGTTGATACCCCCGTCAGTTTTCCCCACGTAAGTCATCCTCTCTCTGCGTCCTCTTTAAACTCTCTCTCCTGGCTGTTTGCCTTCTTCCAACGAACTTCTCTTTTTAATGGAAAACATCCATGGACTCTATGTTACTGCATGTTTGCCTCTCCATCTCTTTCCTCCTCCGACAAACATCTAGAAAGGGTAATGTTGACTTGTGGTCTTCACTTGCTCAGTTCCCATCCTCTCCTCAGGACACATCACTGTTCTTCACCAAAACTGTGTGGAATGACTTCTTGGTAAATCTAGGGGAAAGTTTAGATTTCTTATCTTCCTGGACCATTTTGTAGTATCCGACACTGTTGACCATTCTTCCTTATTTGGTATCCATCCATCAAGTTTTCCTCCTTCCTCTCTAGATCCTTTTTCCATCCCTGCTTTAAATAATAGTATCAACCAAGGGTCTGTTGTCAGCCTACTTTTGGCTATTTCTAAGTGATGTTAGGATCACTTAGCTGTAACTTAGTGGTCTCACCACTCCCATGGAATCGATTACTTTCTGCATACACAGACACACACACACACACAGCACACGCACACCACACACACACACACACACACACACACCGGATTATATCAGTTCATATGTATCTCTTCATCTCTATACTACAGAACTATCTGCATACTGGATCTCTCTATCTCTGCACTAGGATATCTCTCAGGTACCTAATACTTATTTCAAAAACAAATTCCTCATCTTCCTTCCCTTCCTTCATCTGCTTTTGACTTGTATATCTCATCTTTTCACCATCAACTCAGTTATTCGAGCAAGTGTTTGAGTCATCCTTGCACCTCTCTAAGTAACTCAAATATGTTGCGCCCTTTCTATTCCTTTGTTGTTGCCTTGGTTAAGGCATAATTTCTTGCCTGCATTTTTTATCCTTTAACTCATCTTCCTCAGCTCCCGCTCAAAAATCCAGTCCTTTTGTCATTCTGTCATACCTCTTACTAGATGAAACTTTCTTAAACTCAAATCTGATGTCATTTCTTGCTAAACACTGTTTAGCAAGTTGGTGGCTACATGTTTATTTGCCTACCACTAAGCTATCCAGAATTTTTATCCAGTTTACTAATGCTCTGCGGGTTACCTAGCTTCTTAATAATCTGATGAAAAACAAACAAACAAAAACACAAAGAGAGGTACCATCTGATAGGAGCTCTCTCAATGGTATATTACTTTAAAATAAGGTACCATATATTATTCCTTCCCTTCTGACTCAAAGAAAAATTCCTCTTCCCATTTCCCAAAGTCACTTTCATTTGTGACCATAATTGTATCAATATCATTTTAGTCATAGATTTTCCTTCCTTATTTCTACTTTCAATTTATCCCTCTTCATTGTCTGCCAAATGCTTCCTATCTCTTAAAGCACCTTCTTAAATACACCACACAATCTCCTCTCTTACTTGAGTAGTACTTTAGAATTTCATATGTTTATTCAATTATTTTATTGTATGGTTTTAGGTTTTTTGGTTTTTTTAAAAATCAGGAATTTTTCACCTTGATAAGAAATGATACAGAAATCTTCTCAATAATCATTTGGAAGTTGTGTAAGATAAAGAGTTTTATATGTGATGTATTAGTCCTCACTATACGGAATATGTCCTGGATTCATTCTATATTCACGTGTGTCCTATTTATTTGTCTTCATACTGGAGGTGCTTGAGGTTCAACCTTAGATCTCTGGTTCTTTTTGTTTAAATTATCTTCCTATCCCAAGTGTATAGTTTTTCTCATTTTTTAGCTTCTCTTCTATCTCGTTTTTTTCTGCTACCAATTGTAGCGATTACCAAATTTCCGTACTTTTGAGAAAACTTCACTCCCAACCCTGGTGGTCTCAGGTGTTTTAATGGCTTAGGCAAAAGGGAAAGCAGGGGAGCTGAGGGGGAAAAAAATGGACAGACTGGAGACAAATTTAGAAGTAAAATTGAAAGAACTTGCTGATTGATTGTACGTGGGAGATTAGGGATAGGGAAAATCAAGACTGACTTCTTTTTCTGGCTTGAGCAACTGGAGGCTTCAGGGACCACTATTGACGTGGAGAGCCTGGAGTAGGAAAAGGTTTAGGAAAGCTTGTTACAGTATTTCTTCAGTTTATTCTTGTTAAATTAAAATATGTTTACAAGTTAAAACTTGTACAAACGCTTCTCAGTTTCTATCTACAGAAAGTACAATACATATTAAATTTTCATGTCTAAAACTTTGCCCTACCCCACCACCCTTAATACTTTTTTCCCCAAGACAGAAATACAAAATGTACCTCTCCCACTCCATTCCCAAGTTGCATGCATGAGTTTTTCAGGTGAAATCAACATTTTCCATCAATGAATTTAAACAAAAAAATTGGGTGGGGGGAGCAGGAAGAAATGATAGTATAATAATTCATTTGCCCTGGGTGTTCCTCAAAGCCTGAGACAAATTTTCTTTTCTGCAGAATAGTTGGCTTACATTAGCTGGAAATTCACAGTTCACTGCTTTTTAAAAGGCACCATGTCCCTTAGGGAAGGTGAATATGAATATCTCCTATTGTTTCTGAGGTGAAGGATGCTAACCATTGATCAGATGAGTGGAACAATTTGAAGGGGAGAAGAAAATTCTAAATGACCTGCCTGGTTTCACAGCCTCCTGGTCCAAATGGTACTGACATTTTCATTAAGCAGGTTAAGGGAAACGAAAGAGGTTAATTAACTTAGCGGTGTTTCAGCTGAAATGGCCAAAACTGCCCTAGGCCTCAGGTAAGTCTAATGCTGTTAGCAGCATCTTGGCCTTCCACTTTACACTATATCACCTTTGAATGTCTGTAAACAAATTAGGATTGCTTTTTGTGTAGGGCTGTGTAGCTCACAGGGATGTGTGAAAATGTATTAGGTAATGTCTGTAAAGCACTTTAAACGATTTATTCTTTAGCCAGTTTTTCCTAAGGGATA